TGTTCATCTTTATGAAATACACCTGTGAACTCTGCTGCCACTCACAGTACAAGAGGGCAGCTGCCGCTCAAGATGGAGTTGAAAACGAAGCAAAGGACATAATTACTGCCTGTGTTGGCATTTGGACTTCCAAATGGCCAGACCATACACTTGAAGACTTCTTGGATTATAGCCTGAGCATCATCATTTTCATCAAAATATCGGTTAAATCCAGGAAAATCCAGGACATCTGGCTGAATTCCATTTGAGTGGGAACTACTTTTAGCAGACACCAGCTGCAGAGAGCTTCACTGAAGCATGCCTGGCAGCCCTCCTGATGCTCAGCACTGTGGCACAGCAGGGCTCAAGGCTGAAACAAAGGCTGCCACCCTCTGGCTACCTAATAGCAGTATTTTATCACCTCACAAACAAAACGGTGGCAGAAGCTTAACACTTCGGTTTGCAGAGAGGTCTCAGTGGATGTTTCTGCACTGGTGCTTAATATTCCCGTCACCTACTCAAAATAAACTCTGGAGTGGAAACACACTAAAGGAAAAGGATGCAAGTCCACAGCTTCAAGCAGCAATTCTCACCCATCTCCAAGCTCTGCTAAGCCACACCAGAGAAGGCAGAGAAAGGCAGGCTCCATCCCTGCAGCCTCTCCTTCCTGGCTCTAGCCAGTCCCTGGCAGAACTCAGGGCAGTGAAATGGCTGTGGCACTACCCCTCTGCCAGCTCCACAAGACTTCCTCCAAAAGGCAGCTGAAATCCTTACTGCTGCTTGGTAGCATGAAGGAGCTGGAAGAAAAATGTGAGGACAGATCCTAAACGCACCTGTACTTTCCCCTCCTTTGAGACGGAGATTTCTTTGGAGGCAGTTTAAAGCAAACTGAGATAGATAGAGGTGTTGGCCCAAATATGCATGGTCTGAAAAATTACTCTGGCCAAACTCCATCTCATAAAGAAATTATTGGGAAATAATATAGTTTCTAATTTAGTTAAATATTCTTTTTCCGCTTTGGGCTGAATTGGCAAGTGGAGGCTGGAGTAACATCTCCCCTTGATTTTGATTAAGTACAAGAACACATTTCAATTGTTTAAGATAATGACTGCACAGCCCGATGGGACATCTCACTGCCTCAGACCTGGAATAGAAGTTTCCACATCTGAAATTATAATGTAATTTCTGCTAAATGCAACACTGCTGTGCAAAGTGTTTTCTTACAACTTGGAGCATATGCAAATTGGGAGTGAACAGCCTGAGAGCTGACAAGGATGCCTCAGTGCATTATTAATGTGTTTCCTTTTCTCCCCTCCTTCCCATCCAAGAACCAGAGCACATTCGAGTGCAATGTTGAATCCCATCAGAGGGCAGTGCAGGAGCAAACTGAGCCACTTGACAAACCCAATCAGCCAAAGGCTGGTGTTTCTGCTGGGTACCACTTCCTCAAGTGCTTCTTCAAGACTCTGCTGCCTCAGGGAAACAGCACTTGATGAGACACCTCCGTCCTAAAGTTACTACTGACGTTCAATGACATTATGCCCTTGGGCAGGTGAGGCTGGTCTATGTTTGATCAGACCCTTCCTGCTGTAGGTCAGATGAATGGAGCACTTAGATATGGATGAAGTTCCCCCCCCCCCCGTCTCAAATTTGCAGGGATGGTGGGAGGAAGTCTACAGAGCCTGTAGATGCCAGAGTAAATGGAGCTGAATGGATATGGATTATTTTGTTAAGGCTGTTCTGCTAAGAAAGGATTAGGAACATCACTAATAGAAAATTCACTGTGCACATAGGAAAAAAAAAACCTCGATGAAAGCTAATACCCTTTGCTTCTAAATTAGAAATGGTATCCCACATTCTGCCAAGATGCAGAGTGAGACTGTCTTGGACTCAGAACAACTTGATTTGCCTCTTTCAGCAATGCCAGCAAGAATGGAAAACTGGGATAAGCCACAGCTATTATGAGAGCTAACAGGAAAGACCTGGACCTGTTGGAGCGGGTCCAGAGGAGGGCATGAAGTTGATCACAGGACTGGAGCACCTCTCCTATGAAGACAGGTTGAGAGAAGTGGGGCTGTTCAGCCTGGAGAAGAGATGGCTCTGGGAAGAACTTAGGGTACCTTCCAGTACCTAAAAGAGGCTTACAAGAAGGCTGGAGAGGACTTTTTTCCAGGGCCTGTCGTGACAGAACAAAGGGTTTAAAGCTAAAAGAAGATAGATTTAGATTATATATAAGGAAGAAATTTTTTACAACAAGGGCGGTGAAACATTGGAACAGGTTGCCCAAAAAAGTTGCAGGTGCCCTATCCCTGGAAACATTCAAGTCCAGGTTGGACAGAGCTCTGAACCATCTGATCTAGTTGAAAATGACCCTGCCCATGACAGGGGATTTGGACTACCTAACCTAGAAAGATCCCCTCCAACCCAAAGTATTCTGTGATTCCATGATTCCATTTTAAAATAATTTTTGAACATTTTCTAACCTAGCCACAGAAGAGCTTATTGCTCCTGACTGTACAAATCATGCACACTAAAATCAACTTACAAAGCCTCTTACTCAGATGTATGTTTTTACAGCTTAACTTGGCACTCAGCTGCTAACTGAAGGCTTTTCTAGCAAACACTGCTAATGTTATGACTAGAATATCATGCCTTTGTTTCCAATGACAAACAAAATAATTGTAGAGTCTGCCTGCATAAAGGACATCTGCGTATTAACATTTTATATGTGCAGCTATCTATTAACATGCAGCTTATTATCTTGCAACACATTGGATTCACAGAGCCTGCATTATCCCTGTTTGCATTTCTTCAAAACTAAATACCCCAAGAAGCAACTAATTGCCATCAGCAGGTAGTGGGAGGCAGAAGCTGCCTGGTTTGGTATCCAAAGAGCATCTGTGCCACCATACTGGGCTGGTTTAGGACACATTTTCTCTTGGGTCTCTGGGAGAGCTGCCTCCTTTTGGAGCAGCAGTTGGAGGCTGGACAAGGTGCCCTCCAATGTCTGAGAGGCACAGAGCAACTGTGGTTTTGCTCATGAATTGCTCTCTAGGTGGGAAAATACGTACTCTTTGCAGAACAAGTGATACACATGCGTGAGATTGATGTTAATGCCACGTATTTCAAACATATAACTGAGATACTGATTTAGAAACCCCATCCATTTAGATATTCTCCAACATGGAGAGACAGAAGGACATGTCTGTAGGAGTCCTACAGTACCTGCATGGGTTGAAACACCATATGAGGAGTCCATCTCTCCCTGCTCACCACACAGAGCAGGACCAACCAGAAAAGATCAGTGTCTTTTTTCCAGCAGATACCAAGCCATATCTTGGTTTTACAATCTGAGGCCAGTTTTGCCTTTCATTCTTGGATGCTTTTTTTTTCTGAGGCAATTCCACAGGGTCAGGGGGAATTTATTCTGCCTTGAGCCAGAAGGCGAAATTCATCACTCCCTCAAACATTTTGGGATTTGCTCCAGATGAGCAATTGGTATAATTACACAAGACAAAAGGAAAAAATGATCCAATGATCATCAGCTCTCATAGTAGCAGTGAGTTTTGCATGATTTAGCCAAATAATTTGCAAACACGTCCTAATCTCTTCTAAACAATGAGGGGGATTTCTAATTGGTTTCTTGGGAAATCATATTTGTATCTTTCATAGATATTAAACAAAATGGATTTCTCCTGTATTAATCTGTCCACATTGATTTTCTGTATGCTAGACTGCTGGAAATAATGAAGTGTCCCTTGGCTGACAGAGTCTCTTTGACTAGCACACTGAAAGCTTTGTAAATAAGTAAATTATTAATAACACCATTTCAGTTGCCTGCTCTGGGATTCTACAGGATATGTCTGAACAAAGGGTTAAAGAGGTAGGTCAGATCTGACCCAACACAGCAATGTTTTAGAGTCATAACCACTTTTTGGCTGTTTTAAGGGCTGTGAAATGCGTTGTTGGTTCTGACATGTGTCTTAGGGGATGGATGCTTTATAGACCGTGCAGAGGATTAGTTGTGGATATTTTCTTTCATGGTATTTGTGCTCCTTTATAACTTGTAATACTGCAAGTTAAGCCCATACAAAGAGCACTGCACACTTTTGATGTTTTTCACATGGATGGTTCCGCTTTTTCCAGTATTCATGGCCTACGGTCCCTTCCTGAGACCAAATTTGTTCTTCAGTTACATTATCTCTCCAGTACTGACACTGAGCTGCTGGGTGAAATTAAACCTGTGATTTCTGTCTCTCTTTTCTTCCAGGGTTTTTATGTTTACACCACAAAATATTTGGTACAAGGTTCTTCTTCTTTGCGTGTTCAGCTTCAGCCACACACCACCTGCCCTTGACTCTTATGAGTAGCTACAAAATATGCCCCTGCCCACAGTGTTCTGGGAAAGAAGGTGCTGTGAGAGGTGTATGTTCATGATGAGGACACTCCAACCCCCCTCCCAACAGCAATAAAATCTAATTCTTAGCTGTAAGACAGTTGGTCATCTATACTATTACCAAATGTGGTTTGATTTCTTTTTTGTAATTGTTTTTTCGAGGGGATGTGTGGGGTTTTTTGCACTTTTAGGGGGTTGCTTGGGTTTTTTGGGGATTTTTTATCCTTCTCTCCTTTTTCTTTACAGAGCTTTCTTTACTGAGAAAGGCTGAAGATACCTCACTAGCTTCAGTATGAAATGCAAAACGTTGTGGTAGCAAGTAATACCATCACCAACCAAGTCAAAAGGACCTCCCACTAAAGAAAAGCCTCTAACAATACATGTGACATGACAATATTTATTGATTCTAATTAAGGTTAAAAAAAGTTCACAGCTGTCAGATAAAAATATCTGCAGAGCCTATTGAAAAGGGAGCTGAAGAAGGAAACCAAGGGAGACAGTCACCACAGAGGCACTTTAGAAAATGCTACAGTTATAAAAGGCACAAATTCATCACACACAGAGCATATATATTCCTGCAAAGTGAAGTCATTCTTTTTTTTTTTTCCAAAACACAGAGGCAGGCATCACTGAGCACTGACCTGCACATGACCACAGGAGACACGCTAAAAGCAGCAGTCTATGACAACACCTAAACAATGTGACTGCAGAGACACTTTGAAAGCAAGACAGCTTTGGCTGTCTGGTTTTTACAATCTGATCTTCAACAGAAGTAAGATCAAGGTGACCTTAAGGTGGTGGAGATGGGAGAAGGAATGTCAGTTCATTTAAACACAGGTCAGGTTTATTTGTGAGCATCTGTAATCTGTGATTTAAGTGGGTTTGCTTCTTGCCTGAGAGCAGTGGTAGATCTGTTATTTAATCCTGGCTCCCTTTTGCATCCAAGTACTTCTGGAGGACATAGAATTCCCTCTTCTTCAAAAAAAAATCTTAAAATTTCTGCACATCTGTGAAGTCTAATTCAGTGAATCAACAGTCCCACCGAGGACATGGTAAGATTATTTTAATAGAGGACCAAAGCTTCTCTCCAGGCCTTGGGTTCCAGTGATGGACAATGCTCAGACACACACTTAACTGTGATTAATGTCATTGTATTAGAATCAAGATCTGCACCAAGAAAAAAAAAATGCACTAGTTAAAGGAAAGACAAGGGGCTGCCTCAGACTGCTCACATCCTTGTTATTGTCGAGTAGTTTATGCAATCAGCTTTCAAGTACTTTGGTTAACATAGATTATCATGCCATGACCCAACACCCTTTCAAATGTACAGCTGCTATCAGAACAGTGTACAAGAAAGTAAACCTCTTCTTTTTTTTTTTTGACAACTCTTAAGAGCATTACAAAATATGCATGGTAACACTATTCAGTTCATAAGAGACAAGTACACTTATTTCCATGATTGTTCCTATAGTACCTTTTACAAAGCTGGTAAACTGCTGGAACTTTCATGATAGCAGTTGTCTCATCAAACTTCTTTATAAATTAACAAGGCAGCATGACTTGTTGCCTGTTAAACCAGACTTCATTCCTCTCTTTGAAGGGTTGGCAGGAATTTTAATTTAAAAATGTAAGCCAGTCCTAACAGTTCCCTCTACCCAAGGGGAAGCAGCTTGATTCTCAACCTACATCTGTCAATTCGCTCATCACACTGGTATCCATGTACACAAAGTGCCACATACTCCTTTCACGTGGAAAATGTTGAGAAAACGGCAGCAAATCCTTTTTTCTTTCCCACAGTCGTGGTAAGATCCTCAGCATAATCATAGGAAGACATGTCGGTAAAGACAAAGAGAGCCTTCCTAACACTTTGGCAGCCTGCAAGGAAGAAGACAGAGACTTCAGTGTGTTAATACAGATGTTACAATTCAGACCTCCCAGCTTCAATCAGATTTGGCTAGAAGTCCCAGGGAATCCAAATTTAATTTGAGATTTTAAGTCCCACCTGCTTTTAGTTGTGCAGAACAACACGAGAAATGTTTGTGAGATTTCAGGTTTTTACATTTTTGTTTCACTTCGAAACTAAGAATAAGAAATGTTGATAAGTATAGAAAATGTTCAGGTTTTGTTTTTTTTTTTTAATTGACCAGTCTCATAAAAAGTCCATGATTCAGTTCACTTCTAAATACCTAACTTCTGATTTTGTTTGGAATTTCTGCCTCAGTTAGTTAGACTGAGACAAACTTCTGCCAGAGTCAGGAGCAAAGAAGAGAGAGATACAATCTGGATGTGAATAAAACTAATTTATCCTCATTAGTTTCATGAATCTGCTACCCTGTAGGGAACTGAAGAGTATTTCTAGGGCAGAGGCAGGACCTGAATTCCAAACAGTTTTGGCAGGGAAATCATCTGCAAATGAAGCAGCTCTTCATGTATTAAGTGTGCATTCACTGTCTAGCACTTACAGATATCAGGGCCAAGACTTTAAAAATTTTTTCCCAAATTTAGGTTCCTGTGTTTATTTCTGGCCTAAGAATTGTCTGAGTTGCAAAAGCTCTGAACTTCCCATCCAGTTTTCGGTTCCTAATTGATTTAGTAAATAAATCCCATGGGGAGAAAGCCATGTAGAAGCAGTCTGCAGTAGGCAAATGTCCCAGCAAATTAGAGCTCTGTGTGATACAATGAGAAAGGCCATATGTACACTGACTGCACTGTTCTGACTTAAAGATCTTTATGTCTGGAAAGTTCCCCTATGCATTTTAAAAGGCTGTTATGAGGATATTCAATTGTGATAAAATCCAAGCTGCTGCTACAAGATGTTTAACTGGCATATCAAGCTAAAAAGAATGAAACCTAAGGGCCAGAAAACGATGTGCTGCTCACAAATATTGCAGCTTGCAAAGTAGTTCAGTAAATTTCCATGGGACTATTTGGAGAACAAAGTACTACTCTGCACGAGTAAGATCAGATGCTGGCCCAAAAAGTCTGCCTGAGACTGCTGGTACAGTTCCTCTACCGTCTGCTCACACTAGTTGTTGAATTTATTATTATACTTCCCTCCACGGCTTTTTACTGAAATGCAATTTTATTTTACATTTAAATTGACGCTGTTTGAAGGGAGAAGCCCAGCAAACAGGCCAGGAAAAATTCCAGATGTCTCGAACTTTGCGTGCACCAAATCCTGTTCTCAGCTACACCTGTGTTTTCCTGTTTTTTTATTGTGCAGATGTAACACAACAGAAGTACCTACAACAATGCACCAACACACTGACATGGAGGCACTGAGGTTTTGGTGGTTGGGTTTTTTAACTTCCTCCCCTACACCCTGTCTTCTTTATTTTTTCTATTTTTTTTTTAACATTGTTTGAAAGGTACCAAGCTACAGAGGGCAGAAGCACTTGCATGTGACTCTCCTATCAATGGTTCTCTTTCATCTATCGTTTAGATCCTTGGTTAGTTAAAAGTGCACAGTCAGTACAATACAGCACAGCAGGCAGAAGTGGAAGAGTTAATCCCATCAATAAGGTTGTTAGGAGAGACCGAAGCTCTGCATCAGCAAAGCTGTGTTCAGCATGAAGGGGGGAGATAAACTGGGGGGTTTTGGTGGTTTTTTTAATGCAAACACTACATTTTCAGGCTCATTGTGTGTGCCCCACTGGGCAAGAGACAGCCTCAAGGTGTTCAAAGAACAAATTTAAGTAGCTGAAAGAAAGCAAGGTGTTAAGAAAAAAGTATATGAGAGAGTTCTTTATGGATGGCTCTACAACTTCATGGGGTAGGCAGAAGGTAATCTATTCTCTTGCTATCTTGCAGCAACTTAGGGAGCTAAAAGAGGACCTTGGAGGCAGAAAGGTGTCGTATACGGTGAAAAAGGCTTGAATGGCTGTGTTTGTACTTTAGCACAAGGTTTTCCATTCACACTCAGCCTAATCCATACTGGATACACACAGAAAGGAAGAAATCTTTTGTTTACAACAAGAGACTGCGTTGTTGCATAGTATAGTAAAAAAAGAGTCTGTAAAGACTTGGAGTTCAGCATATGTTTCAGACATAAATGCATAAGTGTAAAACCAGATGGAAATCTCACCAGAATAGGCTTTATAGAGGTGTTTTGTCCCTTCTGTTCTGAGATTTGGATAAAAACCAAGGTGATAATGCAGGGTATCTTAGAAATTCAACAACCAAAACTTTACTGCTAGAAATAGGCCTGGATTCAAGGGGTTCTTCTTCAGTATGGATGCCCTTTATTTATCCCTCCCCTCCAGCCTCTTTTCTCTATGGTTTTCACCTCTTCTTCAGTCCTGATCTGACTTTGGAGACACGGAAGTGCATGCCAAAAAACCCACAAAAAAAAAAAAAAAAGAAAGAAAACCCCTCAAGTGTGAGGCTTTGAGATGGCACCTTTTTCAGTTTCGAACTAGAAGTCCCCTTTTGTAGGCAAGTAACCCAGCTGCAGCCACAGAGGTGAAGAAAGTGGAAAATCCAATCAGCTTTAGCAGTCCTGGCACAGATGGCAAGTTTCTCTCCCAGAAGGTCGTAGTGATGGGCAAAGCTGGCACATCCTGCAGGGAGAGCATCCCTTATCAACATAACATCTCCATTGTAAGAGGCAGGATATAAATCAAGATTCTTGCAGCAGAAACAGAACTGGGTTGCAGCAGTGAAATGCTATCAGGAAGAAATGTATCAAAATTTTCTGCCCAGTTAAAGGGAAGAAGAACACACACATGGTAAGGATTCACAGCCCAGTTAAAAAGTGCAGTTCTTTCCAATTCTGCACTACAGAGTTGTCAGATGGGTGCCCTCTCTGAGTTTCTATCATGTTCCTGTTAAGGAAGGGGCAGTTTTGGTGAGTAAGGGAAAGTTTATTGTGGTTTTGATTTAGTGAATTTACATAAAACCAATCAATTTTATCTCATCAGCAAAGCAGCAGAAAAAAAAGCCAGACCCTTTAATCTACATAAATACTTACAATTGATTCAGGTTCTGGCTTCCAAATTTCACTGTCTGGGATTTTCTTCATAGCAAACAGTATCTGAAAGGCAGTAATGTTCTCAGTAAGTACCATTGATTCTTCAAAAGGGGAAAAAAAGCTGGCTTCAATTTTTGTTTTAACATGGCATGATGATGACTGAGCACATAAACAACAGTGTATTGAAATTTTAGAAGAAAACTCAGCCTTTTACAACTCATTTCTGGGGAGCCCAGATATTTAATAAGACATTTCTCCTAGTGGAACATAGAAAGAGTAACAAAAAAATATATTTATGCTTAGTTAGTCCACGGAAGATATCAGAACTTGCCCAGTCCCACGGGAACAGGGCAACGTGAATATGACTAAGAGTAAGCAGACACTCCTGGCACACGTATGGTGTGCCTATGTCAGCTACAAGGAGTAGCTTGCTTTGCAAATTTTACCATGATGTAGGAAGAAGAACAGCATCCTGAGAGTGATGACAGACCACTACTTTCAGCAAGAGAAAAACAGAACTAAAAAGAAAACCTTTGCAATGAAAAACTTACCATTCAAAATATCAAAGATACCAGAGATCAGTAGGATGGCAAAGATTATTTGAAATGGTAGTCAGGGAAGATAGCAAGATTAGTTTCTTCTACGGTAAATAAAACGGTGATATTAATGTAAGGCACTTGTAGGTTTAAAATTTATCATCTTTTATGATGGGCTTTTACTGTAGGCAAGATTCATTGAACCCCTCAACTCTACAATGCATGGGAATGAGAAACACCCTTACACTACGTTTTAAACATATTTTCCTTTCAAAAGTAAACAAGGAAAGGAAAATATCAACATTTTTACCAGTCCAGAACACTTGCCAACTTCTCTGCTGAGGCCTATGGAGGCTCTGCTGTAATGTCTGTACATTAGTGAGATCATGAAGCACTGCCCCTGGAGGTTTACAGAAGGAGGTTTGGTATAATTTTCTCAAATGGGACAGGTTATGAATAGTTGATCCTTGTCTTTTGGGGCAGGAGTATGGGCTAGACAAACTCTCCAGATCCTTTCCAGGAGAATTTCTGTTCCACAACTGTAGCTTTTAGCCACAAGGTTCCCTTCACCTCATAAAACAAAGATGACATTTCTTTTGCTGCTCCATAAACTGTAATGTTCCTGAAAATAGTTGAGGAATTGCCATTTTCTCAGATGCAAAATAAATCTAAGTCCTTTTTTATTGACTTCACGTAAGGCTTTCTCAAAGGTACTTCACTGTGTCAATGGTATTGTTGGGAACACAGGAGGAAGGGACTGGCTTGGTGGGTAGAGCTGCAGGACTGAGCTGCTCCTGTACTCTAACAGCCGTGATGTCTCAGCAGGATTACTAATAGAGTGATCATTTGGGGGAAAAAATGGTTAGGTGAGAATCTGGGATTTCTGTAAAAGAAGAAAGGATTTGGTTCCTGGAAACAAAGAAGATTTTGAGGAAATAACCACAGCCCTTCTCAAGTATTCCAAATCTAAGTGCAAAATCTTCATCCTTTTTGAAGTCTTTCCCCTTTGCAGGGACTTGTATCAAGATTCAGAATATGTGATGCTGTCAACACTCCCTTCCCGTTTCACCTCCAACCAGAACTTTCATTTTCCACAGGATATTTGACAGTGTCCCCTGATCTTCTGTACCTCTCTGGCTGCTCTTTCTCCAGCCTGGACAGCCCCCTCCATGTATCCACTCCACTCTGTGGCTGTTTCTGTGCCAGCAAAATAGATCCTGCCAACGGGCTGCCGAATGATTCTGGAGGGGAACAAGCAGTAAGTCTCATTAGGCATATCAGAAAAGAACCAAAACAGTTGAGTTAAGGTTACAAAAGTTTTTTAAATAACAGCAAGCACTTACAGTTAGTAACATTGGGTGAGTTGAGCTAGAGGGGGAGTCTGCACTGCATTTAATTTCTTACAGCAAAGACACCAGCGTTCGCATTTTCTAAGCATTTACACTGCTCATAGGTGTAAAGCACAATTATTTTGAGATGAGACTTACTCTATCTCACAATTCTAGCCAGTGTCATAAATACCAATGCTAAGCATTACTGGCATAGTTCAGCATTCTGAAGTATATCCTCATAATATATAAAGCAATAAGTAAATAAATAAATAAAAGATTGTTTTAACTCTGTTTTTTACAGAATTGGCAATAATTATCACTAAAATTACTTTAAATACTAAGGCCTCCATAAGCTCTTCATTACAAGTGCTTCATTGCTCTAAGTTCTTTTTAAATTGTAAAAACTTAAACTTCAAAAGTAGGGCTATGCCTCCACATTAAAAACTGTGTATCTGGATCCAATCACTGGTCTGATGTAAGTCTTTTTATTCCTGCTAAATCTTATTTTCATGCAAAAACTTAGGTAGGAGAAGACTGTATCGAATGGCCCACTGATTACTATTTTAAGCCTTGACTGCTGAAAAAAAAGGAACAGTCCAAAGAAATCACGCATTACCGTAAATTTTGGCAAGAATTAACTCTCTGCCAGTATTTATGAAACACCAGCTAAAGATGTGCTGGAAATGGTTACACAGATCTCAAACACCCAAAGCCAGTTTTGTAAACAGTCTGTGAAAGCTTCCCAACTCCCTTCCCAGAGCCTACTCAGCTGTACTCACCGAATTTCAAGAGTGAATAAAAGCCCCTAATGATGCTGAACTCATCCATCATAAAGCCCAGCTGAGAGAAGTGGAAGGTTATACTATCTCTTCAAAATATTCCCCAGTGATCTTAAAAGGTATAAAGTGAACAGTGACAGAGGATTTATGACCCTTTCTGAGGATATTTATTAACTTGGTCTTATCTCACTACTCCAAAGCCCACTATAAATAGACACTGTACCTTCCATACTGAGTCATTATGCCTGGTGGGAAGTAGGCTGTGTAGCAGCCCCCAGAATACTGCTCTTCACACCAGTTCTTCTCTTCATAATGCACTGGCTGTAAAACAGAGATTAATTCACTCAGGGAAAGGACAGAGTCCCAAGGAAGCTAATAACAGAACTGATGAGAGAGCAGAGAAGAACAGCTTATCATTTGTTGCATGTCAATGTCTGACAAGACAAGCACGTTTAACACATCTCTTAATGCAACATCAACCCAACACAAAAAGATTTAATTTTTTAAAAATAGCTAGCAGCGACTTAAAAACTAGCTAATCTAGCCACTGCAGAACATAATCCTCTTAATCTGTCAATGTAAATTGATACTTTGTGCACAAATTTATGGTCTGAACCATGTAAAGTAAAATTAACCTCTGGTGTACACAGATGTAAGACTTGCAATATGTACACAGGACACAAATATATACTTGTAAAAATGCAAAGTGTGGCACTTGTATAGTTCTGTGTACAGTATCACTGTGTTGGAAATTATGTGTTTTCCAGATTGGTGTCTACAACATTTAACTGCTTTAAAAATGTCTCTAAAGCGTAAACAGTGTTAATCACATAATCTAAGTGTGAGATCACACAGAGCCGAGCAGTCATTCAACATTACAGGGAAGAGAAGGCGAGGGAAAGGTAAAGGAAAAACAACCCAACACATGCAGCAATGGGTGTTAACAACTGGTGAGAGAGAAGACACAACATAGATGAAAGGGAAAGCAAGCCTGTCACACCTGAAAACAGCTGAGATGTGTGGTGTAAGCACTGAAAATGCCACCCACAAAGCCGGACAAGAATAAAGTTTCATAAGCTCATTCTTATCCTCACAGTCAACCACAACCAAAGACTTGACATAATATTCTCTCCACTCCTCTAGAGAGGGCAGTAAGTGCTCCCATAGCAGCTACCTTTTCCAGAGGTACCTTTTCCAGAGAGACCATGGTTAGATTTCGTGCTTACATGTAAAGCTTCCTCTGATCCCAGAACCTTTGCATAGAGCTCACACAGCCTTGTCTTCCTGCAAGAGAAAAGCAACATAAGATTTCAGTGTGAGGAAAGAGCAAACAAACTACCTCTAATATACCCTAGTTTCAAGAGAACATGTAACGTATCTGCTTGAACTTGAGGTTCCAGCTTTTTGGGATCTATCCTAATTGGTCAGCCTCTGGATCACTAGAAATAACTCAAACTCCTGTGCTGCATAAGTGCTGGTTTAATCAGCAGTTACACAAGCTGCTCCCTTAAGATAACTCTAGCAGCCCAGTTCCATATGTTATCCAAATGTTTTCCAGGCTGCCAGAAAAGAAAGTAGTAAGGCACTGCAATTTTTTGTCTTGGCACATAGTCTAACTTATGTTTGTTCCTACAGAGATGCAGGTATCGATATACTGCAGCTCTCAGGGAATTAGTACTTTATTTCCATATATATAAAATTTCCTCCATTTTAGTTTATGAGTCTATAAATCCATGAATATACTTCATTCCATAGGAAACCCCAAGCGTAATTAAGTTTGTTCCTACAAGCTTTTGGGTCTTACTCTAAGCTCTGCTGCGCCAATTCCCAAAATCCAGAAGATCAAGATGAAATAATAGTTAACAACTATAAAAACAAAAACTCCAACACTGCATTGGAAAAACATCTACTCCTGGAAACAAATCCTGCGCTCCACAGGAAGCCATGCTGGGCACAGAAATAGAGGAGTCCCAGCTCTGAAACTGTGTGGGCTACACTTGCAGCTATGAAAGCCCATGAGGACATCATATATAATTGTTGTATAAAGCAACCCAACTTCTACAGGAGCCCAGCTATACCCATGGGCAGCTCAACCCAAAGAATGCTACAGGATGGGGCTGAGGAGAAACAGGATGACTAGAAGAGCCTTGAAGGTGTCTTCATGTGCAAATTGGGGCTTGAGCAAGAAAGTGAAGGGCGTTACAGTTCAGGAAGAGCCGTGGCGCTGGGGTGATTTTGCTGCTGGCAGGTGTCAAGTTAGTTTAAGATGGTTGTGCAAAAAGAAAATATTAAGCTTCAGGTCAAGGGCATCTTCAGACTCTAAAGAAATGTCAACCTTGGAAGGAATTATTCATCAATAATAAGGTATTATTTGACAGGGGAAAAAAACACACACAAAAAACCCCAAAAAACCAGCAGTTTCTAAAGAATTTAATTGTATCAGCAGAAATCAATCATTGAGGACATTACCCCTAATAAGAGCAATCTATGCTGCTGTGGTGGCTTCTCTGCAAGATCTGCAGCTTTCATCCCAGAACCGTTCAAATAAATTCTTATTTATATATTTATAGTTGAAGCTAGCATGGAACACACAGAATATGCAGTGAGTAAAATCCTTATTTCTTGGCTTTGAACTCAGCTGTGAAACTGCCATCAGCACTAAATAAGAGGAATGTTATGCCTGGAACTATCAAGGTAGGGTTCTGTTGAAAGTTACACTGTGCCCAGTGTGGAAGAAATGCACATGCACAGCTGTTTTCCCTCCTCTCTTATTTCACAGCAGTGTGGAAAGCTAGGGTACAATCTAACCACTGTAATTACTCACTGGTACCTGGCCTGGGAAGACCACCTGGAAGGCAGCAGTGAGTTTTACTCCCTTCAGTCAGGCTTAGCCTGTAAAAAGGTTTCAGTCCTCTCCCACAGCTGCTGTTCCTAGTCATGATTTAGGACAGCTGTCACAGACTCTACATCCTACTCTTCATATCCAAGGATTACCAAAACCCTGTAATAAGCGTGATGAAGGGAGAGCCCAGGCTGTGTTGTAGGTGAGCACAGCATCTCAGCAAGATACACCCTCTGTAGGGTGCCACAAGAAGCCTGTGTTCAGAAGGGAAAACACCACACCCCTTATTTAAACAATATAAATTGGTTGCATCCCAAGTGTACATTGGGAGGTCTGGGTTCATGCTCTGCCTTTCCCTGGACCCCAGTTTCCACTGGAAGGAGACTTATGTGAAGGACAGGAGCTGCAGAACAGACCAGCAGGTTCCTGCCTTGGCTGGCTGAGGTCATGACTGCAGGTGCCAGAGGTCTCCCTGCACCAGGGTACACCCAGCAGGTACCAACCTGGGCCTATTTCATAGCCATTTGTTAGCAAAGCAAAGCCCTTCCTAGTCCCAGGTTTATTCCTCAAAAGACAAGAGTTCAAAACTCTTGTTTAAAACTTGGCTGTAGGCAGCAGCAGAGTCAGGTAATTGTGCCAGCAATTTTAATGCCCAGGGGAAAGGATGGTGCCTTGCAAACAGCCAGGACAGCCCTTAATTTCATAAAAAGAGAAGCTGTTCTTGAAGACTCTAGGTGCTCAGTTGTATCTAGGGGGTTCACACACAGAGTAAGACACCATTTGGTGTTTGGGTTGGCTTTAAATGCTAGGCAATTCTGGGTTTCAGAAAACCTACATGACTTTTATCATCTGGCACCTGCTGGGGGTCTATCTCAAAGCTTCAGTGCTTGTCCATTCCTGCCAAAATTGAAAGGGCTCTGTGGTATCAGGTTGTCATTTGAAAAGACTGGGACATTAGCAGCTCCATTCAGACCCGTTATCCACAGACTGCCAGACTACCTGCAAAGCAAATCTGAGATGACTACATCTTCTCTAGTTAGACTGTAAAAATGTTACTTGGACACAGTATTCCTTCTGGCATGCTTTCAAAACAATTTTATTTTCTTAGTTTCAAAATAAGCCTCTGCTCATAATCCACACTCTCTGCTTCTAGCTTTAATTTGATCAGATACTGTAAACTGGTGAGATGGGAAAAAATCATTACTTTGTAAATTCTATTTTAGTAATATGCCAAAGAGCAATATGGTATGCAGAGACTTGTTTCAAGAAGACAGTAAAATGGCCTTCATCTGGGCCTGAAGGGTATTTTTTACCATAGCTGAGTGTGGAGAGATGGAGGCAGCTTTCTGATCCCTTCATGATGCTGAGGTGTTGCTCACAGCAGCTACAGCACCGTCAAGGTTGCACTTAGTTACAGACACTGAAAGGACCCTCCAGGGTGATTAGAAGAAATAAAAATCAAACACAATGGTCAAGCCTGTCCCTTCTGACAAGCTTTCAAAGAGCTCAGTGCACCTGCAGGAAGCCAGAAAGGCAGCAGTGGGGAGAGGAGGCTGGACCTGGATCCTTTCCAGTGAGGGCAGGTGGATTTCTACACTACTTTCATATCCAGCAGCTTAGAGCAGTTCTTTACTTGGAGTCACATAAGCAGAGCAGCCTTGTGGGAAAATAAGAACCAGGACCAGAGAGTTTCCAAAGGGCATGGGTTAGCTACACATCTGTTGCCAGTTTGTGGGAATTCTGTGGAGCCTTCATCCAAAACCAAGATACCTTCTTCTTCCAAGTGACATGTCTGCCTACTGTCACAAGGTTACAGACAACTTCCTTCAAATCAGGGCATTATTTTCCTGCCCTGGTCATTTATAACAAAATTTTGACTCGGATTCTGCACAGATCTCCAGTGTTTGGACTTACCTTTCTTCTTTTGTGAGACCTGTCAGTCTTCTGCACTTCCGAGCAAGAATGAAGCTGTAGGAAGACCACAGACAATTTACTGCCATTATGTAACTACATTTCCTGCATTATTTAAAATGTCAATATGTTATGGTGGGATGCTGTGATTAACAGTAATAGCTTTAGGGTCTCTATCTAAAATATCCATTTCACCTCTCTGCATAATGTTGTATGCTCTGTCTGCTGCTTGCAGGAGTCACTCTAGAAGGAAACACTCTGAGATTCATGTTACAATATTTGCATGAGCTGTTTCCCAATTACCTTAATTTTATACAGTTGTGGGTGCAGGCATATAGGAACAAGAGGTGAAGCCTGGGATTGAGCTGGAAATTATTTTTTAATAAAACTTTTAAGACTGATCACACTCCGTGGCTGCTAAAAAAACCAAACCAAACAAAATATAATTCTAGAAAACAAATTTTGATTTAAAGAACTGGAATACTGGGAGAAAACTTTATATTTCTGCAATCACCCTCTTTTTTCTTCTCGTTTCTTTCCTTTTCTCCAAGTCTACACTTTGCCACACAACAAGGCAAAAGATGAAAGTGAAAAAAATAAGACAGAATTTCATTTTTTAAATTAGCAATGAAATCATAGAGAAAACTTTTTTGAAATAAAATAATCACAGAACATATTCAACACAGACTCAACCCTTAATTATTTTAAAGTATTTCCTTTCAAAAGCAGTAGGTTTTCCATTTCAGCTGCTGCCTCTAAGACAAAATAAAAAAGCATTAATTAGACACTTTCTCTTACCCTATTATGGCAGGAAAACTGCCATCAGGCTTAGTATCATCAAGTGTTAAACCAATTGCAGCGTCCTCATCTTCAATGATCATGGTACCACAATACCCTGTTAAGCAAAAGTGGAAAAGTTAGGATACATGTATCCAAATCTAGGAACAACCTTCCAAGAAGATGTGAAATATTCAGAACGTGACAGGAAAAAGCCCTAAACAACCTGATCTAAATTTACCCTGCTTTGAGCAAGGCATGGGACTAGATGACATCCAGAGGTTTCTCCCAGTCTCTATCATTCTCAGATATTATGATTCTGATACAGGGAAGCAAGGTAACTATTAATTAGCAAGGTAATTGTTGCACAGAAATGGACTGCTCTCAAATACTGAAGATGTTCAAGGGCCTTTGCCACAGTTGTTTCCATGTATGACATTTATATCAGACAGAGGAGATATTTGTACATTGTTTTGAAAAAACAACTGTTCTTAAAAGAAGGGTTTAAAGAAAATATATTGTTCTTAAAAGAACAATGGTGTTGGCAAAGCACAGTATGCTACAGGTTCTATCAGAAACAGGGAGTCATCCCCTGTCAATCCATTCCAAACCTAATAGCCAGAACATGACAGGATCCAGAACCCCAGAAGTCATTCACAAAGATGGAGGGTGGATGACATTTGTAGGCAAACAGATGTGGGCTCATTATAGCCAAAGATGAGAAATGGGCGCTATTACACTGCAGTTTTTCTCAGATTCAGTAGTTCTAAAAGAGAGCCGAGGAACCACGATGGAAGTATTCAGCCTGTAAGGGGAGTCCAGGATGACTAGCCCAGTTGGGGATGGAGATGTAAAGACATTTTCAACTAATGCTGCCCAGTGCATCCAGAAGGCAGAATATTTGCAGACTGATAATTGATGGGATAAAACCCCTTTCCATCACACAACACTTGCACCTTTACATTCCTGTACAAGTGAGAGAGACCCATACCCACGTGCCACTGAAGAAGAGGACAATAAAGAACAACCAAGACAATAAGCAACAGGCATGAGTTCTCCCTTCATGACTACCTCCCTCTTTTTATTCCCTCATCCACCCTCTTTTCCCTCTTTTTATTCCCTCATCCACCCTCTTTTCCCTCTTTTTTCCTTCTAAGGTTTAGCATCCTCTGTCTACCCCATTGCCATGCACCCTCTTCCCTTTGTCACAACTATTCCATTCAATTAAAACACAATACCCTTCTTCCTCCAGAAAATTTCCTTATAGTACACAATGCACTTGATGACTGAGCCCATGGGGACCCGGTTGATGAGCTGGTTTCTCATTGGGGGCAAAGGTGGGTTGAAATGAATCTTCAGACCAAGAGCTGGGGGAATGGCACTGATCACATATTTGCCCTGGAAAAGAAATTATACATAAGCCAAATACATTCTCCATTACTTCAACCTAGGTATATTGCTCCAGTGATCTTGGCAGACATCTGTGGAGGCTGCAGGGTGTATCTTGTGAAGCAATTTTGGCATTTAGCATAAGAATTGTAAAACTAAACCCTCACAAAATCCTGCTCATTAAATAACAAACAAACATCATATAAACAGCCATCTGTTCAAATGATTGGCAGCTGCCCTTTCCTCAGTACTTAAAAGAAATCACTGTGCTGTAAGAGTCCATTGGTCTCCCTTCCATCTGGACTCCTCTGTTACAACTTGGAAGTGAAGTTTGCAGGTTTTCCCAGAAAGTTTACTACTAAGCTACATTTTTGTGTTCACACTTTAATTCAGAAGGTAACTGAACACAAAGAAGAGACGATTGCTTTCCAGGCATCACTTTAAAGATCTATCACTGCTATTACTTCAGGACAATGAGAAAGTGTGACCTTCTGTCCTAGTCACTCATATCTCTGCTACGTTTTTGGAGAGTATTTTGCAGCAGCCAAAAAGGACAAAGCTAAAGGGTTTCTAGCTATCCATCCCACCACTAATGATTTCTTACAAGGACATTCCATTACCTCGTATAATTCATGATCTAAGGTTTCCACAACGACACTTTCACCCGACTGGTCGATGCGGACGACCGGCTTCCTCAGCTTCACCCGCCCTCCCAGGCGCTCCATCATCTTCTCACTGATCTGGCCAGCACCCCCAACAAACTTCCTCTCCTGAAACACATAAGCAGCAACTCAGCAGAGAGGTGCTTGTGAAGCAGATATCATTTTGTTCAGCATTCAAAACAAACCCCGTTCTTCCATTGTTATCAAAACAACATATTTGGGAAGTTTGGCAGTTTCACTTGGAAACGTATCCGCGTTACTTTCTCTTTTGGGGATTTCATCAAATACTTTCCATATCTGACCAGCAGTCAAAACCAGAAGTATCAGTAATCTCATGAGAAAACTCCTTCTCATATGGTCTCCAAACAGTTTCCTCAGGCCTGTGTGAATCAGTAAGACTTCTGAAAAGTGCTTTCAAACCTTCCTCTGAGTTTATTCATCCCTGCAGAGCTCTGTGCATCACAAATAGGAAACTTCACAATAAATAACAGAGTAAAAGAAATAATGTAGCTCACATAAAAAATGCCTGCTACGGTCCGTAATCTAAAGTAATTTAAATCACCTCTAGCATAGCACAGAATTCAAATATTTAAACATATGTACAGTTAAATTATCTATGGTTATTGCTTCTATATGCATATTTATGGATTTGATATGGTTTCATGTATTTGCATTTTTATTTATTTATGATTAAGTAACTTGCATTTCAAAAAATATATCTATTTCTAATACAATTAGTAAAATTTGCATTTCTCAAGTAGAAGACCATTAACAGAGTCTTTACTTTCTTCAAATGCAGAAGCAGCACTAACATACCAGACTGCAAACATTTCAGAGCAATACCATTTTTAAGAAGTGGCGGTCATTTTCTTCAGGCTGATTTTAAAATCATAACAGTGTTAATCCTTGGAAGTTTGCATCTTAGGAACCCAGCTCTGGGCTACATTTTCAGCATTAATTTGCAGCTGGCCTTGCCATCTCCATTAAGTGCTTCTGCAGTGGCAAGCCTTGCTTCAGCCTTGTGACAGAAATAAGCACAGGTAAAACTTTCCTTTTTCAGCGTAGATAAGCAAAGTACATGTTCTAACCGGAGTCCAAAAGGAAGCCAGAGTCAGGGACAGATACAAAACTACTGAACCCTAGGGCAATGCTTTCAGCACAGGAGCAGTTTTCAACACCAGTTTGGCAAGATCCAGATGAAAGTGTAAATGAATAAAACCAGTTATCAACGTGCAACTGGCTCAAAAGTCACGGACGACTCAGTTTGCCCTCTGAACTAAAACAAACAAGCAAAAGAATGAAGTTAAACCAGGGCCTGTCAAGAGCTGCAGAAGGTGATGGCTCACAGTACCTGTCCTCCGTTTGTCGTTGAGAATATCCTCGCTGTCCCCCCACACTGCTTCACATACCACAAAAACCACAGGGCAGAGACCTCGTGGGGCTCAGAAGTGACATCCACGTTCACAAACAGAGTTGCAAAACTCTTGGCTGCACTGCAACAAAGACAAGAAAGTGAGTTAATTTAAAAAATTAATAATGCTGACCAGACTGTTCTTGAATGGGAGACCGTCTTTGACAACCTCTTTTTTTACTGTGGGCAAAGGATTCCTTGATTTCTGTTGAAGTAGGAAATTATCAATTCCTTTTATGTAACATTTTTCAAATATCCCTGCAAAAAAGTGTTAATCAAGTATTTGTATTCCACACAAATTAGGGCTCCAGGAGACACCAAAGCTCATGAAAGCTTATGTTACTAATTATGCTACTAATGCAAAGTTGTCATTTTAGGATTAAGGGAAGCAAGCCCTCCGGCTTTCACTGGACTCCAAAAACACCATGTCCTTGGCTCCTGGGTTACAGACAAGATCTGCACCTGCTAAATGCCTGTCCCTCAAGCACATAGTAGAGAGATTATTCAACACTTGTCATAAAAAGTTAGCAATCTTGTCTAAGCTAATTATCTAATATCTCTGGATTAGTCAAGATCCCTTCACTGCCCAATCCTCTGTGCTCAGGGAGAGTGCTGCAGGTGGAACACAACAAGGAAAGAAATATAAGTAGGAAGTCAAAACAGACGAGACAGCATTCATGAAAGAGTTTGACAGGGAAAAGGAAAGGATTCTGTAAATTACTGTATAAGCCTGTACAAGATTTTTGGGTGCACTAAGACAGAATTTATTAAGGTTCAGGGAAACATTCCTCCTGTTAGAAGTAAATGCTTCCCCCTGCCCTCATTCTGAGGAGGAGTTTTAAGAGACATAGACAGGACCACGAGATGCCCAGTTTAACTACTTTGGGCTTAGGGACTAAGATTTCATAGGTGTTTCATATGCAAGGCATCAGGCAATCAATAAGTTCCAAAGCCAGTACAGAATCCACTTTTTTGTTGCTTCTTTCTTTTTTTTAGTCTTAGACTTCAAAAAAAGTGAAAAGTGTATCTGTAGCATACTATTTTAAACAGCTGTAGATCTACGTAGAAAAAAGGCATCTTCTGTCCTTTCTAAAAATGCAAAGTCCCGCTGAAGTACAGACCTCATCCATTTTCTGAAATATGAGGGCATTCTGGCTTCATTCTTGACAGCCAAAAATAATACAGAAATTATTCATGATTTTTTGTCAGTATAAACACATATTGTAAAATATGATCAACTCTGTAAGGTATTTTGCTAATGTGTATGTGTCCATTAATATTTTACAAGCAGAGGCTATTACATGGTGGTTACATTCTCCTAGTTTCTGCTGCCTTCTCCCATTGCTTTTCAGTTCCTGATGTTTTACCTGGGAATACCAGTATGATTTCAACCAAGTGCAGTCAGGACATTTCCATCATGCATCTGTAGCCGAAAGGAAATCTGTACAGTCTGTTAGATGAGAGGCAATAGCAGAAGATTACCCTTCTGGATCATTACCTTCCAGAGGGGGAATTTTCTATGGCATGTTACCTAAATCTTGAACAAACTGAGCAAATCAAGCTGAGGTGCACGTATAAAATCTGAAAAGCGTCTCTGTTTTATGCCAATATTCAGGTAAAATGTCAAGTCTTATTCCATCAAAGTTGGAAAATCATGAATGTAGTCACATGAGCTATTGGATATTGAATGACTACTGGTGCATGGTGTTTTGCAAACTTGTCCAATTCCTTACCAAGTCAGAGGTTCAGAGAGCCAACAGAGCTGTCAGCATACATTTCTATCTGGTTTTACTGCACGTGGACCGTGATACAAATGAGAAAGGCTTTTTATATGCTTCTGTGCAATTGTCACTCCTGTTAAAGTAAAACAAGTTTTTGACAGGGGCCTACTGTCCATTAACAACCATGGAATTATTGAATGGTGAAAGACCCCAAAGGATGACCTTAAAGATGATGATCATCCAGTTCCAACCCCCTGCAATGGGCATGAACACCTTCCACTAGACCAGGTTGCTTCAAAGTTCCATCCAGCCTGGCCTTGAACACTTTCAGTGATGGGGCAACCACAACTTCTCTGGGCAATCTGCACCAGGGCCTCACCACCCTCATGGTAAAAAATTTCTTCCTAATATCTAATTTAACCCTGCTCTCTTTCAGTGCAAAGCCAGAACCCCCTGTCCTATCACTACATGCCCTTGTCAGAAGTCCCTCTCCAGCTGTCTTGCAAGCCCCTTTTAGGCTCTGGAAGGCTGCTCTCAGGTGTCCCTGGAGCCTTCTCTTCTCCAGGATGGACAACACAACCCTCCCAGCCTGTCGCCATAGGAGAGGTGCTCCAGCCCTCAGGTCGTCTTTGCGGCCCTACTCTGGACTCGGCCCAAAACAGCCATGATCTACATGAACAACAATGGTCACGTTGCTCTCTGGAGACTGGCTGAAGCCATAGAAATGCCCCTGTTGAGAACCAGACTTAGTGGGTGCTAACAGGCTTCGGCACCAAGCTCATGCAGGCTCGTGGCAGCTGCATGTGGGGTGCTTGGCAGTTCTGAGGTGGCTGCTGTAGAAATCAATCTGCCTTACAGCAAGGCAGAATTAATGGGCTTTATTTTTCTTTAAGTGAGGAGAAAAACCATCAAACTGCTGTTGAATGGCAAGGGAAGAAAAATTGCTTTGATGTATACATAAAAACAGGAAGCATTTTCACTTTCCCTGCTATAGAGCGCGCCAGCTAAACAATAGAAAGATGGGTGTTAAAGTGATTTAGTGCTATTGCAAGACAAATGTTATCTTTATAGCACTTTGGTAAAATCAGCTGGTCCAGCACAGAATAAATGTGTGTTGTTCCATCAAAAGTTTGATTCAAAAACCTGCTGTAACCAGAACATTTTTCTTTTAAAGGCTAAACACACAGTAAAGAGCAGGAAAGCGCACATAACAGATTAGGTACTACACATCTATTCAGAAGTAACCCTCCCAAATACATTTTCCCTTTATCTTCTTTTTTAGTCTAAAATGTTAGGGAAATAGAGTGTGCTGACAGGTGTTGTGGTCCATTATTACAAGATTTTCTCACCCCATTTCTTTAGAAAGGCTGTGGTTTAGGGGTAGTTATATCTCTTTGCAAAGCAGTAACATTTATTTGGAGCTCTAAGGTATATAAATATGTCATTATGTTTTGTATTAAAAAGTTTCTTACTTCGTCCAGCAAATTTTATCTATGAAATCTTGCATAGTCATTTTGTCCCATTCTTCTGCATGTGGAGCCTTCCATGGGGCTTCACTGGGAATCTAAGGAGACATAGAAAAGCATCCATCAGCAAATGAGTGACAGAAGAATTACCGTGTCTTTACATGGTAATTTAGCCTGCAAATTTCTGGCAGATAATACAGTGAACTTAACAGTGAATGCTTTTAGGGTTTTTTGTTGTTTGTTTGCCTGCTTTAAGAATTTTCTCTTTTTTAGATGGAAAAACAGAGAATAAATTTAGAGCTAAGTGATCTTTCTAAGTTGTTCCATATCTCTTGTATTTATCTATGCAAGTAAGAGCAACCTCTTCTCAAAGTCTTATAGCTCATTCAATAGAAAACATACACTACTGGTAATAAACTAGAACAGACAAATTGAAGATAGAGAAGGGCAAACGTCTGAGGTTGACAAGCCTCTTAAAATATCACTATGATTCACCAGGAAAAGTGCTAAAAATCAACCACAAACATAAGCCTTGACATTCCTTTAACCAGAAGAGCAAAGCTATGACTGCAGACAGCCTCAGCAACGTGGCCCTCAGAAGAAGTTTCAAGGATGCCTCTTCAGATGCGCTCTGACCATCAGCGTGTACCAAAATGTGTGGCTGCTCTTGCCAGCACCAGGTTTTTTCAAGCTAGAGCAGCTTCCCATCTTTCACTCTGCCTCTCACGGAGACAAAGCTGAGCTGAGACAGTCAGCTGCAATGCCTCATGCCATACCTCCTTCCCCATTTCATCCATGGTCCTCCACAGGTTGTTGTAGTCCAGGTAGGCCAGTGGATTCCGCATAGGAGGGAATGGACCTTTAAAGGGGTGAGACTTACCCTACAAGATGAAGAACAAACAAAAACCTCGTTAAAAACTAAACACAACCATAATCATAGCTTCCATGCGTGGGAAGCTGCACCAAATTAAGTGTACACTGTAAGAAAGAACAAACAATCAATACATGTAACACCTGACAGATCATGTCTGTGTGTGCACACAGGAGGCAATGGGCACAAACTGAAACACAGGAGGCTCCTTCTGAACATCAGGAAATGCTTTTTCCCTGTGAAGGGTGACTCAGCACTGGCACTGATGGACCAAAGAAGTTGTGGAGTCTTCTATCCTTGGAGATCCTCAAAAGTTACCTGCACATGGTCCTGGGCTACCAGCCCTAGGTGGCCCTGCTTGGTCAGGGGGTTGTACAAGTGGTCCATCCAACCTCATCCATTCTGTGACCCTGTTATCTTGTATGTGCAATTTAGCTGTGATACACAGCTGAATTAGTAAGTCCCATGTGTGCAGAACTGATACTGCCTTCATCTTCAAAGCTTTACATTTGGAACTTCTGGGCAACAAAACTAATACCCTGCAGTAGAGTCACCAAGATCAGACTAAAAAAATGAGATGAAAAATTGGCTATTTACTACTGAGAGATATGTATGTTACTTTTTTCCTCCTAAATGTTCTGTTCATGAGAAGACTGAACTGTTAATTATAGTAAGCAGTTTGTTTTTAGTTGGTTTTTTTCTCAAAATCAGGCAAAAGCAGTTGTGGTGAGCTTTATTATACACTAAAATCATAGGTCAGAGACCTTCCTTAAAAAAAAAAAAGCTGTTTTGGCTAACCTAAAAATTACCAGTCCTGTAGAAAATGTGGCATTTACTATTAATGACTTATTCTTCCAGTCATTAACACCTCTGGCTGTAAATTCCAGTGATGGGGTGACCAATACCAATGTCCTAATTACATCATTACATATTAGATTTTATATATCTGTATCTCCACTACAAGATACTCTGAAAGTCTGGCTTAATTAGGAGTGGAGATAACAAGTAATTTGTAGAACTATTTCTCTGACATGGGATTTCCCTGGCTGACTATATGGATGGCAGCCTAATAGCTTTAAAAATTCACAAAGAAATGTTCATCAGCATTATGCAGGTACTCCTTTCTTCACTATGCATTCCAGAGTCCATAAGATAGGTAAATAATAAAGGCTACATTGTGTGCCACATCTAATTTTTCAAAACTTGTATTAAATTATGTATTTAAGTGTGCACGGCCCAAGCATGATTGCCAAACAGTAGAAGTACCAACTTTTAATACATATTTGATGCAGTGCCACACCAATCCATCAGTAAAAAATTATTTACACTGGCTTAAAAAAAATCATAGTGTACCAAGATTTAATATTTAGAACCAGGTAACAACAACAGTGCATCTTCTTGAGGAGAAGTATCCAAAGATCACTTACTCAAAGAAGTGTAGGGCTTTATTTGATTTAGTATCTTTATTAATACTGTGAAAGAAGGGAGGGAGAGCACATTATTTAAATCTTCAAGCATTTGTAAGCACCAGAAAAGACAGTAAAAGGGCACAATGGGACCCTGACAGACTTAAAACTCGGTCTGGATATAACAAAAGGAGATAAAACCTTGAAAATGCTCACTAATAACTTTGAGGACTTCTAATTCAAAGAGAAAGATACTTAGAGAGCAGTAAGGCAAAAAATCAAACCTAAGGGAAAGAGAAAATTAGCTTACAAAACTCCCAAACAGGTTAGAGAAAGTGAAGAAGAAACTGGTTTTTCACCTCGTCTTCACAGATGCAGGACTCCAGTGGAATCCTTGTCAGAAACACCAAGGTAATAAAACTTTGGAAAAAAGTAAAATGGGAGAGGGGAGGAAAGGATTTAATTCTTTGGTACACATGAAGAAGTAGCTGCAAGACAACAATTTCATTTTGCAGTGTTTTTGAGGAGAAATTATGTTTTTCACAATGCCAAAACATGAAATTTTTAGAAGTTTTCTACCAGAGGTTTTATCACAGTCAGAGTAGATCTCCAGTCACTTCATGTGCCAGAGGCACCAAGGTTGAAAACCTAGAACTTCCAATTTAAGTCCAATGGACTTAAATGGACATTACGGCACATTCACCCAGATTATTGGAAGGGTGGGATGTTTTTTTGTTTTTTCATTCAGCACGAAAATAAAAATGCATTTCTATACGTCTTGTGCTCAACCATACAAAAATACTGGAATCAGGAAAACAGATCCCTATAAATGGAGATGAACTGAACAAGTCTGTTTCATCATAAGCACTTGGTCCTGACATGAATATTTGTGTATGATTACAGAATCTCTTAATATGGAATCAATTTGAACTGGAGCACACCCTCATACTCTGCTGCCAAAGGGCTATGAAAGAAGAGCAAGAAGTCTCAAAGTACCTTCTTGTCCCAAGTGATAACACCTGAACCATGTTGACAATTACCTTTTAGCCTTTGGGGCACATTAAAATTCCATAAGTGGCTCCTATGGCAACAAGAAGTAAGTTTTACAGCGCTTTCTTCTGAACACTGGAGCCACTCTTCACTAGTGTAAACACCATATAGGTATCCCAAAGCCAGACCATATCAGTTTGGTTTTAAAAACTTAGTATTTCCCAAATTTAGGTTTATAAAACAAGTATACAGCTGTGCTCAAGAAAACCAGGACAGCATCAGAATAGGTTATTCTAATTTTGTTCTGAACTTCCTGCTTTGCCAGAGGCAATCCTGAGTTATTCCCTCTGAGTTAACTCAGGTCTTATGAGTTCCCTGTGGTGCTTCCTCATGAGCACACAAGAGACACACAAATCATATTTTTGTTTTAGTATTCTTCTATTTCACTACATTTGAACTGCTGAAAGGGAAATCTTAGGTATGTCTCTTGTGTAGAAATCTAGGGTGACAAGCCTCATAAAGCACAAGAACAAACTTAAACCTGGAAAAATATAAACAAATCAAAGTTAGTGAGTACCTTGTGAAAGCTACTTCCAAGAGCTCCTAAGGCATCTCCTAAGGCCTGATCCTTATTTCTTGCACAAACAAAACTCCAGGAGCTGTCAATCAGAATTTTGTTTGAGAAGCAACTGCCAGTCTAGGCTCTACACAGAAACAAAAATAACAGCACCAAAGAAAGACTACAGAAAGTTCAGAGTAACTACCAACAAACTGAAATATTTCAGCTCTACTTTTGCTGAATTTGCATTTTTGCAAACACAACAACCTTTTTTGATATTTAGGCAAAATTTGCTTATTGCTATCATCTTCCTGGGAATAGCATTCTCCATACCTCCTGGTGCTGAAAAATCCCTAAAGAATAACAAGACACAGATGAAAAATATGGTCCAAGATGAACAACATGTTCCTTTTTTGAATATTTTTATACCTAAATCAGAGCTGTATAGAAACAGCAATAGTAACCACCCTTTCCAATCATTTGCCACGGTATTTCAGCACCAGTACTACAATGATCAGAAGTATTTCTTACCCTTTTTTATTTAATACAGGCATATATATAATTTTAGAAATAATTTCATGATGCCACTTGCAATGTTTCCAAGAGCTGAACAGAACACAGCAGTTGGAAGTCTACCTGCTATTGTATGGATCACTTGCTCACAAAGGCTGTTGCTGTAGTAGGGGCTAAAGCTCACTGAAGAAGCTGAAACCATAAGGGAGGAAACTCTTGCAATGCAGCTGCCTCAGGAATAAACCAACAGGGAAATGAGAAATCCAGTGTTTGTCACAAACACTGCAATACCCAACAGATTTTCTCATCCATCTGTTTCACATCAACCAACATTTGGCTTAGTTACAATGGACCCATGTAAGTGCAGAAATAAGCTTTCTTTATACATCAGCTCTGTTTCAGGTCAAATAACTGACATAAGAAATGGGTTATTACAGGTGGAAAAAAAAAAAACACAACGTGGCAACTGAATATCAGTAGCCCCCTGAATATCAGCCCCAGCACTCAGGAGGGCATAGGGGCCAGATCTCACACACTTCTTCCTGTGAGGATGACAGCGAGTAAATGGTTAGCTGAGGAAGGACATGCCAGGAAATACCAGTATAAACATCTTATAAATGTAATCAGCTTTCCTTGGAAGAGAAGAGACGGTGTGGTGCATTCTCTGTGTTACTGAAGGAGCACGGATATTCCCTCAGCTAAACCATCTAAACTGATAGTAACCAGTGGAGTAACTGCTGCTCACTTCACCAAGACCTCACTCTGCATGTTAATTCACAGTTACACAGGTTTGTTGGCAAGCAGTGCCCTCTGCTGATTCGCAGCACTGGTACATCACACACCCCCTGTTCTCTCAACTTAAAATCCCAGGAACTTCACTCATACAAAGCACTGGAACAGTAAGATGCAAAGTCGTGAGGAGGAAAACGAGAACCAGAAAAGAATCACTTCAGGATGTAACTCTGTACATGTATCAGATATTGTTTCTCGTCTGCTGCCCTGTGGAAAAGTATCATTTTTGTTTGGTTTTTGGGGGTTGTTTTTTGGTTTTGTTGTTGCTTGGGGGTGTGTGTTTGTTTAGTTCTGTTGGGTTTTTTAAACCATAGCATCTAACAATATGTTTCTTTGAAAGTAAGCCTCTTTTATAATCATAATTCTCAGTAAAACATGGCAAGTAGCTGGACCAAACTGAGAGATGTACACAGGCCTACTTAGAAACTGTAACAGCATTGAACTACATTGAAGTTCCCTTCGTTGCAGAACTATTCAGGAGCTCATATGCTTAGCTGATTACTATACTGACAGATATCCTAAAAGAAGAAGATACATAGGTTAGAAAATATAAACACTGCATAAGACAATCTGTATAACTGATATAACTGCAAAGCTGCAATATTTAGACACGCCAAAATGTCCTTCAAATACATTTCAATATCTAATTTGAGATCAGCTGTGCATGCCAGTGTGTCTTGTGAATTTGGTTAAGTAAGGTAATTCCAGTTTAAGTGTTGCATAGCCAGACACAGTGGCTTGAAACATGCA